GGCTGAGCGAGCAACAGGGGCAAAGTGGTGCGGCGGTGGAGTAGCTGCGGTGTGTTGGAACTGCAGCTTACAGCTGCCACTTTGCGGTTACTCAGCTTGCAACACGTTTGCGATCAACAAACTGGCCAACTTCTGTTCCGTCTTTCGGTCACACAACAATTTTCGGTCAACACAGGGCGACGGCAGCTCACGGAAAATGTAAGCAGTACTTAATAGAAAAAGTTCGCAGATTTTCAGCAAAAAATTGGTTACTTTCGCTAGAATCATTAAAAAGTAACACCAAACAAAGAAATGCATAAATATTGATAATGTTACATATAAACAGCTGGGTAGCATCCGGTGAATCGGAGTGATTTCGCGAAACTTGCCGCTGGTGCGTGTGCGTGTTTATGTACAATGTGTGCATTAGGGTGGTCCAAAAATGCATGTGGAAAAAGTAAAGACGGAGTTCTTATGCTCTCACCCCCTACAAGCGTTCAATAACGAAAAAATATACCAATCTTTTTTTTTGTATTTTGAAATCGAAAAATATTTAGAGGTCGCTCAAAGCGCTCCAAGTTTCTCATGTACATATATGTATTATATGGGGAAAAACCACTTTTCGTAGAAATGGTATAGAATTCTTGAGAAGCAATATAATTCGATCGGAAAACTTTGTTTCTCTTTAGGAAATACACAATAATAACACGCAATTATTTAACTAGCAATTTTTTCATAGTAACTATATTTTATAGGTCCGCCGAAACCCCCAGAAAATGCCAGCAAATGCAATGGGGGGATAAATAAAAAATCTTTAGTATTAAAAAATGGTTAAATACACAATTGGGTATTGTTATTGGAAGTCTCCTGAAGAGAACCAGAGTTTTCCGAACGAAAAACATTGATTTTCAAGAATTCAATACCATTTCTACGAAAAGTTGTTTTTCCCCATATAAAATTTATGGAATACTTTGAGCGCGTCGAGCGACTTTTAACTAATGTTTTATTTCAAAATAAAAAATATTGGTCTACTTTTTTCGATATAGAACAATCCTAGGGGGTTTAAAATTACAACTTTGCTTGTTTTGGACTACCCTAGTATACATACATAAGTAGTTGGTTAACAGAGAAATTCCACCTAAATAAACCAGAGTTTTCATTTCGAAATATCAAAATTGCACAAATTTCGCATGGCGTATGTATGTACTTAGATACGCGACGTGCGCATTACAATTTCAAAATTATGCTTTCGAACTTTTTTTTCGGTCGCAGAAGGCTTTTGCTTTTTGTTAATTATGTATCTGTTACGAACGATCTGGCAGCACAGTTGGAGTAAGTCAAAAGTAAG